TTTTGACACGGCCCTTACACATGATTTTTTTTTCAAAAAAATACCTAAATGTTGATATGTACATGTTTTTAGTATTAAATATTGTGAATTTTACCAAAATATAGTTTCAGTTTCTGACAAAAAACTTCAAATGTATAGCCAGTAGCCAAAGTGTTAGACTGTATTTACGTCTTTTATGCGGATTCTGAAGAGAGAAAGCTTTCACAAGACTCTTTTTCTTGTACACTCTGAACCATATATCTTATGAATATCAAATAAAATGCTCTAAAGATATTAGATTTAAAATGATATAAATATATTAGATCTTGACATTACTTAGACATTCTTGTATAAAGAGGTTTTTAAATAGCAACCGACCTGAAACCAAGTTTTTTTTTCAGCATATTATTTATGTCAGGAATTATCGAAGTGGTCTTCACATAAATTTTAACAAAAACTTCCTCTGTCGGTATTAGAAACACCAATCTGTCAAAAACTTTCCGACATAACTGGTTTGAGTTGCAGCAAATCCGCGAATATGTAAAACTAGAGATTATTATCGCCGCAAACAAAAGCTCGTTTAATCTCGATTTCGAGTACATTGGAATTACACCAGATTTAAACTTTGAACATACGGAACTTTTATACGGATCTGTATTATTTAAAGTCCGGAGTTTTGCTCTGTTTGTCAAGTGCTGGAATCGTGTTGATCAACAAAATTAATTTATTTGGAGCCAAGACACGTTACAGTGATAAAGACACGGAAATTACGGAGAGGTTTTGATATCAATTAACACGGCTTTCACGAGTATTCCTTGAATGTATCCAACAATATTTAACATAATCTGTTGAACATAGAAGACACTGATACGCATCTGAATACATACGGACGACTTAAGACGTATTTTAACGCAGTGGGGTGTATTTTGTGCAGTTGGAACGCATTTAAACGCACTTGCATCATTTCCCTTGGCCTTATGTGCAATATTTGTCGTAATATTGGTTTCTAATTATGCTTTGTAGTTCTGCCTTACTGTCCGTTTAAAATTATTCCTTAAAATATTTTAAGGACTTGTAAATGTGCGAGATTAAGTTGTTCTCCGGTGATCTCAGGATGATGGTCAAAGATCTACAGTCTCAGGATCCCAACTATCGTTTAGCACACATACAATCAGATACGCACCGACTTAACGCGTTTGGTTAACATCGTATGCATTAATTTCCATAGCAACCCACTAATTCATCAGTCACTTTACAATTACATTACAAATGGATACCACATCTGTCAATGCAGCATTATTAAGAGAAGGTCTGAGCCGGAGGACCATCCTACGATGTCCTACTACAAGGGGGAGGCCGTAAACGAATAACAACATAGAGAGATAATATATTTTTTGTATCGAAATCCCTGAAAAATCAACATTTGATTGGTGCTAATCTTAAAGAAGAGCTTAGAGAGGTCCTATGTGTGGTTATCAGCGTTTGAACAGTCAGAAGGAAACAGAAGGCAGCCAACCTGACACCAAAAAGGGCAGCTACGGGTCCCAAGCTAACTGGAGCCCAAAAGCAAAGGCGATTAGAATTTGCTCGCGAACACTGGATTGGGACGGCTATCATTAGAAAGTAGGATCTACCTACATGGCAACGACAAGCGGCTTGGAGTCTATAGAAGACCAGGAGAGCGATTTGCTCAATGTTGTAAACGAGAAATTGTGTCATATGGAGGTAATTATTGTATGTTTCGGGCAGGCATTTTCATGAATGAAAAAACCGAGTTGGTTTTCATGCGTAGTGGAGGACGTAAAAGAGGTTTAACCACGGAAATATTTTGAAAAAACATGTGGTTCCATACGCGGAATTTATTGGTGATGCCTTTATTTTAATGCACGATGCCATACCAAACGAGTCACCACCACATATCTGACTGAGATATAAATTGAGCTGTAGATCTCTAGTTGTAACTGGCGACTTCTAACAATAATTCAAGAATTACAATTAAACAAAAAACTTAGCTATTTCCATGACAATATCATTTAAACCTTTTTCGATCGTTCACTGCGCGGAAAGGCTGCTCTACACCCACTCCGGTCCAACCTCTTATATTCCGCAACTATGAGTTCTTTCTTCTTTTCCCTAGATAATTCTCTTTGTCAACCATTTTCCATCCATTCCTGAATGTAGGTATGTAGGAATGTAGGTAATCCACTGTTTTCCTGCCACTGCTCTTATGTTATCTACTTATCTTTTTTGAGGTCTTCCCATGCTTCTTGTTGTCGTCCTTGGTCTCCATTCTAGAATTCTCCGTGTCCACCTGTTGTCATTATATCGGGCTACGTGACGTGCGCAGTGCCATTTCATTTTTGTAGTTTCTTCCACAATATCCCCAATCTTCGTTCTACGTGTTATCTCGGTGTTTCTAAACTTATCTCTCAATGATATTCCAAGCATGATTCGTTCCATTGCTCTTTGCGTTGTTTCTAATTTTTTAGCAGATTTTTTGGTAAGGGCTACTTTCTCCAAGACGTATGTACAAACTGGTAATATGCATGTGTTATACACATATTTCTTTAGGTTTACAGGAATGGAGGTGTTTTTCAAGATATATGCTAGTTTACCGAAAGCGCCCCATGCCAGTTGTGTTCTTCTTTTAATTTCAGCATCTTGATTTTGTTTTCCTAGTTTAATGACATGACCTAGATATACATAATGTTCAACATTTTCTATGGTATTATTTTGTATTGTTATATTTGTCCGGTCTCAGCTCAGTATTTTTGTTTTACTGTAGGTCATTTTTAAACCTACCGCTCCTGAAACTGTTTTTAATTGTTGTAACATATCATTTAGGTCTTGGATATTATCGGCTATTAAAACTATGTCATCTGAGAATCTCAAGTGGTTTAAGTATGATCCGTCGACGTTGATACCCTTGTTGTTCCATTCTAGTTTCTTAAAAATGTCTTCTAGAGCAAGGGTAAATAGTTTGGGAGAGATGGTGTCTCCTTGTATTACTCCCTGTTTTAGTCTTATGCGATAAATTTTTTGTGCTTTCGTCCAGCTTTATCAGCACGGTGGCATTTTCATATATGTTTTTAATTATGTTAGTGACGAAATCGACGAACACCATATGAATTGGAACGTTACACTCGGTGCATTTTTCCATTAGTGTTCTTATGGGGTGCAAGTGATCTATTGTACTAAAATGTTTTCTGAATCAGCCTGCTTGATAGGTTGATAGAAATTGAGCTGGTTATGATTTTAGTTAGTAATTTATACAGATGTGATAGCAAGGATATTGGTCGGTAATTCTCGATGTTTGCTTTGTCTCCTTTCTTGAATAGTAGAATGACTTCGTAGATGTACCATTCTTGAGGAATCTTTCCTTCATCAATTACTTTATTAAATAAAATATTTAATACCTGTTCCATTTTTCTGCCACCAATTTTCAACATTTCAACTGTAATCTTATCCTCTCCCGGACATTTATTCGTTTTTAGTTGATTTAGGGCCATTCTTATTTCATAGTGGGTTATATCCGGTATTTATTCTGAACCGGTATTAATTATTGTTCGTTCAGTACGTCGTTGTTGTGGTTGTGTATTTACCGAGTATAATTTAGTGTAGAATTTTTCAATGGCCTCGCTTATTTCCTTTCTGTCTCGGACGGTGACGTTTTCTCATTTTTTATTTCTATGATTTTTGTTATACCGCTTGAGTTTTTTACTTTCAGTACTTTCATATTGCAGTTGTCTTATATTATATCTTTTATTAGATTGTTAGTATAGTTTCTATGATCGTTCCTAATTTCTTTCTTCAGGTTTTTGTTTAAACTTTTGAAGCTATACGAAGTTCGATCTATTCTGTTTCGTCTTTCTAAGAGTATTTCTAAGAGTTTCTCGAGTATTTTAATTGTATTAGGTTGGAGTTTAGATGTTTTGACTGTTTTCTGTAGCTGATATTTAACAGCTCCCGAAATCTATTTAGCAATTTGAGAACATCGTAATTGCTGGTATGTCTAATCTAGGAAAATTACAGCATTCTTCGGTAGAACCACATCTCAAACGCCTTTACGTTATTCATTGTGTCGACATTTAGCATCCACGTTACAAAACCATAAAGAAAAATAGACCACACACAACATTTAAGAGTGCTTAATCTCGTTTGAGTAGTTAGATTTCTGTTGTGAAGTGTGGTCTTCCATTTAATGAATGCTCTACTTATCATTATGATTCAGTCCGTTACTTTTTCTTCGCATGTGATTTTAGTCACAACTTTAAATATTTAAAGTGTGATACTAATTTGATTGTATGTTCGCCAATAGTTACCAATGTTGGTGGAATATGAATTTTACTCGCTGCCATTTATTTTGTCTTTTAATTGTTTATATAAAAGGAGGGACCTCCAACTCATTTTTGTGTAAATGTTCGGAGTTATTTAGTTCAGACAATGAATTAGTAGATTAGGTAGTATTAAAGGGCCTCCTCGTTCACCCGATTTGAAACTCAAGGCATATTTTTATTGGCGATACTTGAAAAGTTCAATTTATAAATTTAAACCAAGTATTATCGATGATTCCATATTAATTTCTATAGAAACATAGAGAAATATAATAGACGCATTCTTCCGTCGTTTAGGATACTGTCAAACTGACAACGGAGGACATTGTTAACACTTGATTAAATAGACATTAATTAAGAAATGTAGTACACTTTTATTTATTATGTTTACTTATATTTATAAATTTAGTACAAAATTTGAATCTAAAATTAAAAATCGAAAGTATTGTATACGGTTGAACTGGTGTTGAAGTGGAGATTTCAATAAAAGTACAATAGACAGGCTGTTGTATTTAAAAAATCAAAGTGACTAATGATATCAGTAAAATTGTAAATCTGGCAACGTTGTAAACATCAAATTTTAAATGTTCATATTGCAAAATAGGCATATCCATGTTTTTGTATGATTCAGGCTATACATTTAAGAAATAATTAGACATTTCAAGATGAATATTTATAACAACTTACCTATAGTGGAAGAAGGATCAACAGGGTTAGCATCTTTATACCAAAGGATCTCTGGAGTGGGTGTTCCTTCGGCCTGACAGTTCAGAATGATCGCGTCCCCCAGGTTAACGTAGATTATATCTTCGGGGGTCACAACGAACCTGGGGGGCGCGTGCACATCCAGGTGGAACCAGGTTCCGTTCTTCGGCTGGTTGGGGGGACGGTTGAGGAACACCACTTTGCATTCATACCTAAATACATCAAGTGTAAAATTAATATGTCAAATTTAAATATAAAAACATTCTTAAATGTCAATTGTTAACGGATAAACTTCAATTGTCAAAAGTGGTCATATACTAGATGACCGTAAGGACGATATAGAGTCAGAACCTGTCTAGCGTGCTAGCCTGGGTATATAGGTATATAGTACCAAGGGACGAGTGCAAATACTGTATAACCAAATAAACACCAGCTGCAAAATAAGAAAGGGGTTAGCGAGACAAAATAAAAAAGAGATAACCCAAAGAAGAACTCAGACATCAGTGATTGAGTCTACTAATAATAATATAACGAAAACGAATGGAGAGGCGACCCCAGTAATTACCCCAATTAGGGTCCTACACATTAGGATCCTAGGTTACACATCAGGATAAAATTAAGCTCTATCGGATATTGAAGAATAGATTATACAGATTGAACCAATTTAAAACGGATCATACAATTTAATATATGTCTGTTTGGACTGCATATGAAATAGTGGACCAATATAAAACTATCCGTCTCGCAACAATGTTGTTTGCGTAACAATGTTGCCAATCGCCGTGTAATAATCCGATTTGCGGATCTTTTTGAGAGTTATATCTTCTTCGTATCTTTAAATAAATCGGATATTTGCCTATATTTTTCATTGTATTTACCAATCTACTACAACAGACTAATAACAAAAATAAACTTAATGGTTTGTAGTTATTTTCTTTTTTTCTTGTAAACACCTTATTTGAGAAACATCTAAAGGAATGGGGTTGGCAACACCGCTCAAAGAAGGGCTTGTCTAAGAAATCGATAACTGGTTTGACAGCATAATAAAATCGTAGATTTATGTGTAGCTTTCAATTTTTATGATTTCAGAATCCAGCAGCCCGCTGAAGTATTGGATTTTTATAATATAATTATTTGACAACCTTTTGTTGGCCAACCACCTACAGCAAAATTGAGCCGAAATACATAATATTTCGTATGTTCCGAATTTATTTCGTTCAATCTGTATACAACATATGTGCTGGAGGATAAGTAAAGTTAATTGAAGGCCGTATGGAACAGACGGATTTCAGAGGAAATAAAGAATCGACGCAAAATATGTAAGAATCTTAACAAAAAAATTCACAAGGAAAAGTTCATTTTCTGTAGTCGGCTGTATACCATATATCATAAATTTCTTGTAAAAATCCTTTATATAAGGTATATTTATATAAAAAACCGTTTCGGGAGTTTTCTATCTTATGTCTCATCTCATCTCGAATAAATGAACGTGTGATAATTGTGATGCCTCTTATGTAGGTAGAACCATTAGAAAGTTATCTACTAGAATTTCAGAACATTTGAAAAGACCAAACTTTTCAAGTTTTGGTCAACACTTATTATCCAGTAAATACAATTTTAACACCAATACCAGTTCGTCTATTTTACATGACATTAGTAGAAAGAAAAACTATTTGGAGTTGGATTTATTGGAAGATTTGGAGATCACAAAGGAAACAAATGGAAACTCTCACTGTCTTAATACTCAAATTAATTTAAATTGTACTAAATTTAAACCTCTTTTTAAAAACTTTATTGCAGCTTTACCTCGTAGTGAACCCAGCTCGGCTGTTTAGACTTCCTGCACTGAGTATACCCATTAAGAATTTATTAATTTCGTACTTTGATCAACATTACTATTTTATTCTTCAATAATTTACAAAACTAGCTTGCTCAGGTTCAGTTGATCTATATTTGGCGTTAATTACACTCTCCATAAGAAAAATATCGTGGCTTCGTAATCTACGTGAATGGTTCGGGTGTAGTTCGATTGAACTTTTTAGGCGCGCTGCTAACAAAGTCGCAGTGGCCATGATGATTTCCAATCTCCGCTAGGAGTGGCACGAGAAGAAGAAGAAGACACTCTCCATACATCTCTCTGCGTAACTTAGATATACCATCTCCACAGTTGTATATTTCAACATCTCCCACTGTCAGTTGGTCTTGAGTAACGCTTTTAGATATTAATTTTATAGTTCTCCCATTGACTGGGGGTTTAACTGAATTACTTGGATTATACCCCATTTATACACTGCTTTCAATTTTTGGTTGTTTAATTTTTAGTATTTTAATTTCATACTCAAATTTCTTCTTTTCTACAGTATTGATAGTGCCTGGTAGACCCTTTTATTGTAGTCAACCACCCACTGCCTAATAGATTATTTAGTTTATTGTTTGCATCCATACTTTACGTCCACTTCAATTGCTCTCAAACTAACACCCTAATCATTACAGACAGGTTTAAGTGTGAAATCTGGATTATGCAATCTAGTTAAAATATTCTATATGTCATATTTCATCAGTTGATTTCCTGTGGTAGTGTCAGTTGGACCTTTGGTCAATGCTTAGTTACATAGAATTTTGAAATGTGCAGAACACATATCCATGATTGTGACTATCCATCCAAGCTGTCAAATGTCACATGTCACCTTAACATTTCCTTTGCTTTGCCTATTTTTTAAATAATTTTAAACTGTTTGTCTCTGTTTAGTGCAGTGCTATACCCGGTTCGCTAATCCCAGTCCGAACTGTCTAGTGATTTTAGTAATTATTTTTTTGCGAAGTTAGTTACTTTTTGACAGACTCGAAGTGGCTGGAAAATACTATACAACCAAGCATACGTGCTCTTAGTCAATATTAATGTAAACAAAAGTAAATAAAATAGAACTTTGCCGACAATCAATATTTATTTATTTACACCGTATAATGTATTGATAACAAATAATAAAATTATTTATTGTACAAAATAAAAAAGTGGGATTAAGTTCTACAAAATTAACAAGTCAAAGTGAGGTTAAATAAGAATAAGACACAGCAAGTTCCTTATGTATTTACAACATTTATATAATTCGATAAATACATTTTAATGATCAACTTACATCAACAGGGTTTTCATTCGGTAAAAAAAATGGTAGGCATTTTGAATAAACCTTTGTGCAGTTTTATTACCTTGTAATCTAGGAACAGCATCCTTACTAATCTAAAAATATTAACTTTAAAAAAACTTTTTAAAAAACATTTTATCATATTTATTAAGAAAAACTTACCAACGCATTAGCTGATGTAACAAATGGAAAACTTTGACTATCCATAATAATAAAATTTAAAATATAACTCATTAACTAATTAGCTGAATAGAACTAACAAAAGAATTAAACAAAGATAATAAAACAATAAAACTATATTAAATTAAATAAACAACGCGAATAATACAAATATTTACTACAATATTTTAAATTGTAACAATTCAAATATTATATTTTAAATATACAGCGAAAATTTGATGGGTTTAGTATACACTTCCACTATTTAGAATAATTCTTCTTTTTTTCAAAGAAAGAGGTCTGCAATAGTAGTATACTTGAGCTATTTATACTGAGAAGTAGGAATTGTTGTGTTGTAGGTTTCCTACAATGAGTCTGTCAAAATATGCCCTAGCTAAGCGAATAAACTGTATCTACAATTTTAGTTTATGACATTCTGTGATTGTTGGATAGCCAACAACTGACGAAGTAAGTCTACAACGTTAATCACAAAAAAACTTTTATCATCCATTAACTTTTTATCGAAGTTAATTAATTTCTTCATTTAAAAAAAAAACGCTTTTTGGCTTATTTCATATGCCCCTGAAGGTGCTCTAGGAAGCGAAAGTACTTGGGCAAGATTTAATTAATATAACTGTGCTCGATATCTTCCTTTCATTTGATCAAAGTTAAATATTGGCCAACGTAAAAGTCAAATGTGGTTTAATACTCTTAAAGGTATACATGTTTAAAACCACCAAATACATGGGTGATAGGGGATTAAATACATTAAAGGGTTTTACCCATGTATTTAGTAGCTTTAAATGTATACCTTTGTGGGTACAGTGAAGTCATTGTGTTCCACGCATGAAACCAAAGACAAACCAGCTTCCGCTTGTTATTAAGTAAAGTTACAATAATATTAACAAAGGTTATTTTTATGAAAGCTTTAGACTCAGTCCATCAAAAAGAGATAGGTACAGAAAAGACGCTTGTGGATGTTTTCAGATTTTAAGCACAATTTGTGACGTTTCTGATTTCTTTACTTATGGCTGTCAATTTGTTGGATTTTTTAAAGCCTTTACCGCTATTTGCATTGAGGTTAGAAGGTTTATTTATTTATTTGTTTGTTTAATTTTCTTCCGTTTGTTTCTATTACAAAAAATTACACACATTAGTTTTCAACTTTATTAATTTCTTGTTCAATAGAGTATAATAATCCTTTTGATAAAATATGATAATTATAATAATAGCGCACGATTTTCTGATTGCGATGACCAGGCAATGCTATTTCCTCAATGCAAAAATTCAAATGGCGGACCCGGCTTCACTTAATTTGTTCCTTTTAGATTATAGATGTTTATGTATCGGTTTAATATCTATGGAAACTCTTTACTAAAATAGATCAAAAATGTTTTAAACTTACCATCCTTGGTCAGATTCTCTAATATTGGTGAGGTTAAGGGAGGCAGCTCCATATGGCGAATCGGGAGAGACTCTGGACACTCTCCCCTCGTATCCTTCTCCGCTGTGGGTCGGATAGCTCTCATACCAGATGTAGATCGGTATGTCCTGCCCCTTTAAAAAGTACTCAATGAGGGCGCTGCCTTTCTATATACACAAGTAAACAAAAAAATGACTTTAATCCTTCATTTGAAGAGTGCGGGACTTTGTTTAAGGAGTAAGTAATGAAGATATTTCTGCTACTTACGATTAGTACTTGCCTAGGTGCTACCAGGACAAATATAGATAACTACATACCCAATACTGAGAAAGATATCGTTTGCTACAAGACAGAAAACTGGTTAGTAATTAAAATTTCATATCTACTAATCTGTATATGACACTCTTATATTAAAAACGAACTTATGGTATTTTTTATATCTAAATACAAGAATGCTAGAGATAGTTGATAAACTGGCTAAAATTTTATAAAATTATTTATCTAAACATTTGTGCAAAGATGTTTTACATAACTATTAAATTTCCTTTTGTTTCTCTTTTCTTTTATTCTTTGTTTCAGTATTGATTTAGTTATTTAACGCTTTCTTTCAGTATGTTGCTTTTAAATATTTTTTAATATGTATCATTGTATCATGTAGTTGCAAATTTTTATATTCAAAGTACTCTTAACCACGATAATAATTTATAAAGCGACACAATTTAATTTGAAGGAAATAAAACGGATTATGCGATTCTTTTGTGGCAGTTACTCCACGAAGCTTAGTTTAACACCGAATGCTTTCATTCTTTATTAAATTATAACAAATATTTAAGACCGAATCAAAGAAAGCTTTACAAATACGAAATTTCGATGTAATAATACTAAAATGGAATTTATAATGAGAGAAGGCAGATACAGGATAATGTAGTTGATACTCAACGGAAAGATCGACGGAAGAAGCGGAATTGGTAGAAAGAACTACTCATGGCTCCGAAACCTTCGTCAATGGACTGGCTTATCAGCAGATGAATTATTACATGCCGCGCAAGATCGAGAACTAAAACGAGAACATGCCTAAAATTGGGCACGGTACTCAAAGAAGAAGAAGGAATTTATTATCTAATAAACTGGTCAACTATTGGAGTCAAGTGTGTTTTAAGAGAATCCCCTTTCTTTTTTTTTTAATCTTTCAGTCTCTTCTGGTGATACAAATTTGCGGTTCTTCAAATTTCTGTCCAGCCTATTATTGTGGATAGATAGAAGCATTTTCCAGGTGTGGATATGTAGATAGTTCCTCTAAATATTATAAAAACTATCGAAAACATCTACCAAAACAACAAAATGGAAGTCAAAATAGATGGACAACTTACAGAACCTATAGAAAGAGGCAGCGGAATAAGACAAGGAGGATTCATTGAGCTAAATGCTCTTCAATTTGATCATGGATGAAATCATCAAAAGCTTTAACAAAGGAAGATGATGCAGAATGGAAAACAAAGAAATAAAAATACTCTGTTACGCAGGCGACGCAATATTAATAGCCCAAGATGAAGATAGTTTGCAAGACTGGTCCACAGATTTAACATAAGAGCAAAAGAATTGAATATGACAATCTCATCTCAGAATACTAAAACAATAGTAGTGTAAAATAGAAATTGATGGCATTAGTATTGACCAAGTATTGGAAATAAAATATCTGGGAATTACACTGTCTAGTTGTGGAGACCTGGACAAAGACATGAGAGATCAAGTAAAAAAAGCAAACAGACTGACAGGATGCCTTAATAAAACTATATGGCAAAACAAACACATTAACACTGAGATGAAATAAAAAATTTATAAAGCCAGTGTAATACCAATAATGACATATGCCTCAGAAACAAGACACGACACAGCCAGAACGCAAAAGCTTCTGGAAACGGCAGAGATGAGAATACTGAAAAGAATTACAGGAAATAAGCTGAGAGATCGAAAGAAGAAAATGTAACGTACAGTGTATAAATGAATGGACACAAAATAGAAAAATGGAATGGAAATAATGGAATAACCACATAAGCAGAATGAAGAAGACCCGTGTCGTCAAAATATCAAGAGATAAGTCAACAATCGGACGACCGCGCAAAAGATAGTGACAACCTTCCATAGAAGTATTAATCCGTCAATGAACAAACATTGCTTATAAAGAGGAAGAAGAAGAAGTAATAGAAGAAGATATGTAAACAGTGTACTGCGAATAATAAAGTTCCAGCATATAAATATACTCTTGTCGAAAGAACAAATAATTACATTTGGTACAAAATATGACACGATATTTTTTGACTACAAAATAATATAAGATGATTTATTAGGTGAGAGACACCTTAGACATTCGTAAGACGTTTTATTTCACTAAATATACAAAAAATTGTAAGAGTACTTTGACACAACAGTGCCTCCTGATCTTCCTTTTGATAGCAATCTGTTGGTCTTGTGATTCCTATTAATGTTTCCCATAATTAAGTGAAAGCTTTACTCCTAATACTGTTACAATAGTCTATATATTAATCTTTAATTCTGCTGGTTTTCGATATCAACTACAACAAGACTTCTATTGATGTTACCAATCATTTCTTTCTTGGTCACCTCCTCATTCCTCCCACTTTGTAACCTTATCGTTAGCTATTTTTGGTTTTCTGTTCTTAGGCAAGATACGAAAGACTGTTGCATTTGGTTGTAAGACCATTCTAGTTTACTGAGGTTTGTTAGATTGTATTGTTGGAGTATTTCCCACCCATAGCCTTTGTTCGTTTTTTTGTAAGAATTTGCCCTTTTATTCTCCATATCCGCTATGCCATCATCATCCTAATGATCCAGCCTTTATTTATGACGTCCACTTAAATATAAGCTTCTCTTAAACTCCTCTATTCTTTACGATTTTGTGCTCTTTGTTGGCAATTTTTGGTTATACGCCTGATGTCCTCAGACCAACGTGTAGGTGGTCCTCCTCTACTACCTTTGTCTGCTCTTGGCCTCCAATTTGTAATCATGCAGGTCAGTGCTTAAGTCGTACATTCTCGCAGCATGGCCTACCTGGTTCAATTTCAGTTCCACTATGTGTTACACAACATCAGGAATAGTCCTCCTTCTTCGCAGTTCTTCGTTTCTTGTTCGGTCCCGCAACGTTACTCTCAGCATAGACCATTCCATTCGTCTCTGTATTCTCAATCCATTCCTCAATACTTTTCTTTTGAGGCTGATTGGTATGTTGGCCCTAAGTGTATCTTGCAGTTTTCCAAAGGCTGCCCACGCTAAAGTAATTCGTCTTTGGATTTGGCATACTTGGTTATCCCTGCTGATTCTTATTTTATGACCAAAATACGTATATTTCTCCACCAGTTCTATCACTTTGTCTTGAATAGTTAAATCGTTATTGGGGAACATATTTGCCACAAAGTTTTGCTGGCGTTGATTCTGAGACCCACCTTGGAACATGCAAAGTCCAATTCATTTAACATATCTGTTGCTTCTCCTAAATTATCTCAGATAAGGACAATGTCATCTGCGTTGCTCTTCTGGTCTTTGGTAATCCCATTGCTCGTTAAATTTCGTTCATAGTTATGCCAGGTCCCGTCACTACTTCTTTAATTTCACGATCGAAACTTTTATCATTAAACAGTTCCTCAATATACTCTTTCCATCTGTCTATGTTATCAAAATCAGTGAGAATCAGTTTGCTGTCTATCTCTATCAACGATATTATTTGTATGTCTTTTGTACTGACCCAGTACTTTTTTTATTTTTTTATACATATTAAATGCATCATGTTTTTCCTGTAACTCTTCAATTTTTTAATATTTGTTTTCGAATTATGTTTCTTTTGCAGCTCGTATTTTAGTCATATCTTATTAATTCGTTTATATATAAAGTTCTCTTTTCTTGTTTCTCTTTTTCTGTGGGAGATTTTGTTTCGGTAAATTTGGATTAAGTTAATTCGACAGGAAATATATATGAACTCTCCCTGTATATGCAAAGACGAACATAATATCTTTAGTGTTGAAATATATACTCATCATAAATATAATATACGTTATGAAAGAACTGAACGAGTAACCACCGGATACAGCTGTAGTCATGGTTATAGGGTTTCACAGAAAGCCACTTTCAAATATTCGTATATCTAACGGTCACTTCGGTAAATTAAAAGGTAGTTAGTTATGTTGTATAGTAAACAATAGAAAATAAGGATACATGGTAAAATATTTTGATTTTGCATATGTCTGAAGCTTTCTTTTTCAATATCCATCTTTGACAAGATCAAATGATTGTTTTTCAATTCGAACCTCAAGGTATGTACAGAAAAGGTAGAAAACCCCCTAACCATCATACTGAACACTCTCAGAAACTGAAGATAAACTAGACTGAGTTGCAAAAAGTGACTTACAATATATGATACCAATAATATCGGATTTGATGAATTTTTTTAAGAATTTAAAAAAAATTACTTCACATGTGTTAAAAAGAAGCGGAGATAAAGACACCATTGTCCATTTTCTTCCACAAATTTAGAATAAGTACAGTAAATATATCATTTTATTTTATCAAAAATAATAAATTTTAACTCAATTCCAAACCATCTTGAACAATCTTCACAACATATAAACCCCAATTTTTCTCCGCCCTTTTCTGAGAAATTCCTGAAAGCTCCAGAAAGGATTAGCTAGTTGTAGGGATATAACTTGCAACTTTCGATAATTCACTTTGAGTAACAAAAGTTTCTGGATTCTAGAAATCAAATCAGGGATTCCTCTCTCTCCTGTCAAACGTTATCTTTAAAAGTATATCGAGATCAGGGGGATTACCGAAAGGATCATCCGTGTACAGTTAGTTTTTACTGATTTTTATTGTGTTTTTTTGCGAAGGTTTAGCCAACGATGGATTACGGGGGAAATACGAGAGAGAAACTTTTAAGTTTATGTTCGGTTGTTTTCAAAGTCGAACCGATTTTTTCTGGTCTAGTTTTTTGTCTTGGAGTAAAATACTGAAAATCCACTACACAAAGTAAAAAAGAATTATATTGACAAATATATATACAAATATAACTTCCAGCATAGGGAAATAATGATAAGATTTCCTTACAAAATAACAAAATACAGAA